AGTATGGGCAGAACCAAAGATCAACCAATATAGGATGAGCATGTATGCAGCGGAAGTCTGAGAAATGGACTGACTCACATAGACTGAACTCGTCCAGATATCACTCAACACACAAGCAATCGTGAGATGGTGGGGTCTGATGCCAATCATAGACGATGCTCAGGCCCCGTACAACCATACACGGATGAAAGGTGGGAGGAGAGACGATGGAGGTGGGAGGTATAGGCAGCGCCAGATGTCACCCAGATAGAATCCAGTAGGTCACCGATATGGTAGTCCAAAATGTCATCGAACAAGATCAGAATGTCGTGGACAATAAGTCACCAATGTCGGAGGTACAGAGTCCTAATGTAACCGGTGTCCAATCTGTGATGCCGCCGAGTATCAATCCCAAACATCTCCAAGGTCTTGAATCCGGTGAGTATCACAGCCTCTTACCACCGAAGTCCCAACACTGATCTCTGTTCAACTCGTAACAAAGTCTCAGTCTGACGACGACGAAGAAGAAGAAGAAGAAGAAGAAAAAGAAGAAAAGAAGAAGAAGAAGAAGAAGAAGAAGAAGAAGAAGAAGAAGAAGAAGAAGAAGAAGAAGTAGAGAAGGGAGGAAAGAGAAGAGGGGAGACAGAGAGCCAGGGGAGAGGGCGAGGGGCCCAGGCCTAACCTGCGTCGTGCAAGATGGCGCCTTGGCCGATGCGGGAGCATGGACTGCACCGCGGAGAGCTATGGCGCTCACGGTACATCAGGTAAGTCTCCCTCCTCGCTCTCCTCTGCTGCCGTGTACTAAACTTAGCGCTGCAGCTCCAACCGCTGTGCTGAAACAACAATAGCGCAGCGTTCCGCTCCTGGGTGATGCCTCTCCGTTCCAACCTGGGAGAATGGCCGCTGGACCGGCCTAAATGTCGTCCGGCGGCCGGTCAGCCTCTATGCTGGCCTCCTGCGCCGTGGGCTGAACCGTCGAGATGTCCATTCATCCCAGACCGACAGGCGGCAGCCTCAAGAGCGCCGCCAGGCCCAAACGGTCATGTCGTTTGGGCCAACCTGGGTCTGCTGGCGCTGGGGCTCAACCAGTGGCCTAATAGGGCCTACCGGGAGGAAAAAGGCCTGGCCTTTGGTGAGGCTGGCCTGGGTACCCCTGAACCGGTGTGTCGGGCCTGTGGAGGACCGTGTGAAGTCGCAGAGTGTAACACACTCCCCCCCTTAAAAGACCGAGCTACCTGCGAGGGCAAAGTTGTCTGTCTGATACCTGGGTGGGTCGGGTGGGACGAACTGTCCTGGGCAAGTCTCCGGTTCTCGTAGTCGGAGAAGATGAGTGGTGCAAATGCCTGTGAGTCTGCGCGGGAGATCCAACGGGTGTCATCCGGGTCACATTGCTTGAAAGTGACTTGGTATTGCATTGGCTTGTTGCCAAACTTGCGGTGCCTGATGACACGGTCAACTTCCTGATGGTCGTCCATAGAGGGCGGATCCTGTGATCGTCTGCCCGGGAACTCGTCTGCAGATGGTGGCGTGTAGACGGCCAGCTTCGACGCATGGAAGACCGGGTGCACACGAAGGTGCGGTGGGATGGCAATCACAAAGGAAGGACCTGCAGGGTCGTCGCCTGCTGCAGAAACGACCTTCCATGGTCCAAACCATTTTGGGAGGAGTTTCCGCGAGACATCCTGCTCGAGCACGAATTCCTCAGCGAGGACCCAAACAAGGTCTCCCTCGCGGAAAGGACATGGGAGTCGACGTCGATTGGCTTGCTGTTGCATGCGGATTTGAGCCTTTTGCATGTTTGCGCGGGCTTTGATCAGCAAGTCCCGGTACTTCCGAACGGAAGCGGGAGCGCAAGCGATGTCTATGTCGGCGGCCCGTGGTGGAAGAAGATCGGCAAAGACTCAGGCTTTCTCTCCACTGTGATGCAACTCGAATGGAGTGATGCAACTCGAATGGAGTGATGCAGATCGCCGGGTGCATCGAAGTGTTATAGGCGAACTCGATGTCGGGAAGCCGATCAACCCAATCTTTCTGGTCGGGACGGATGAGTGTACGTAACATCATTTGAGCGGTTTGATGCGCTCGTTCCGACTGTCCATCCGTCTGCGGGTGCCATGCGGAACTCGGCTTCAAAGTCGAACCGGACTCCGTCATGAGGGAAGTCCAGAAGGCGGACATGAAGCGAGTGTCTTTGTCGCTCACAATATCTTCCGGAACACCGTGGCATGTAATCCAGCCGATGTGCAAGAGTCGGGCGAGCTCGGGAGCTGTAGCACGATACTTGCATGGGAGAAAACGAGCGTACTTGCTCAAACGGTCAACGACCGTGAGGATGTTGTCATGACCGAGGCGATCGCGGAGGAACGGGCGTGTAACATCCATAGCAGTGGAGAGGCGAGGTGCCGGAGGAATCGGCATCGGTTTCAGTTCGCCATAAGGGACCTGAGATCGGCCTTTGTTACGATGGCAAATTGCGCATGACTCAATATACCTCGTGACGTCGTGAAGAACGTTGGGCCAGTGAAAACGCTGGCGGAGGCGGGCCAATGTGCGGGTCACACCAAGGTGTGCCGAAAGTCGTGCGTCGTGGAATTCGCCGAGAAGACGAGTCCGTAAGATGCGATCTTGGGGCACCACTAACAAGTCCTTCCCTCTCGTGTGGAGAAGTAGGAACCCATCGGAGATACGATAATGACCAGCCGGCGGGTGATCCGATGAGAGTTCCGCATAAAGCGTAGAGTAAGTCGGATCGGACTTGTAGCCTTTGACGAAATGCTGCTGCAGATCGTCGTCGAGTTGGGACGTTGTCGTCACGAGGGCACAAAGATCGGACCTCCGTGAGAGGGCGTCCGCTGCTCGATTGGCGGGACCGAGAATGTGGCACGGCTCAAAGTCCAACTGGTCGATGTAATACATCCATCGACCGATCGTGCTAGTGACCGTGTCCTGCGTTTTGTAGAAGGTCAACGGATTGTTGTTTGTGTTTCATCTAAAACGCGGAGGGCCGAGAAGAAAGTGGCGCCACCGTTTGAGAACGGTGACGAACGCGAGTGGCTCTTTCTTCCTAGCGTCATCGAGAGTGTTGATGGGAGGCACTTTTTGGGAGAAATACTCGACCGGGTGCCAACCATCCGTGTGGCATTGTTCCAATACTGCACCAATACCGTACCTGGAAGCATCCGTAGTCACTTGGGTGGGTAGGGTGGGTAGGGTGGGATCATAGATATGGAGGGCCGGTGCGATTTGCATCGCCGCCGCGTCGTCGATCTTGAATGGTACCTTCGGGGACTGAAGTTTCGACAAAGGAGCTGCCACTTTGGAGTAAGACTCGACGAAACAATGATAGTATCCAGCCAAACCCATGAAAGAGCGTACATCCGTCGTGCAACGGGGTTCCGACCAATCCACGATGGCTTGGATCTTGTCCGCTAAGGGACGAATGCCTTTCAGCATCACATAATGGCCTAAGTACTCGAGCTCTTGTTTGGCGAATTCGCACTTGTCGCGGTTTGCTTTGTACTTGGCTGCTCACAAACGATCCAACACCACACGAAGGTGTACGAGGTGCCCGTCAAGCGTCCTACTATAGACCAAGATATCGTCGAGGTAGATGAGGACGGTACGATCGAGCAAGTCTCGGAACTCCGTTGTCATGGCTGCTTGGAAGGTTGTCGGGGCATTGGTGAGTCCAAATGGCATCACGACCCACTCAAAATGCCCATAACGCGTTTTGAAGGCGGTCTTGTACCGGTCTTGAGGCTGGATTTCAATCTGGTGGTAACCCGGCTTCAAGTCCAACTTCGAGAAGTACGTCGCGCCCCCCAACCGCTCGAGGAGATCCCGGGGAGAGGGCTGGCGTTCTTTACGGTTTGCGCGTTAAGTTTTCTATAGTCGATGCACAGCCGTAGGTCCTTGTTCTTCTCTCGAACGAAGAGAACTGGTGCACCGTATGGTGGACAACTAGGGCGAATCCAACCTTTGTCGAGAAGGTCATCGAGTTGTGTGCGAAGCACCTCGAGTTCCTCTTCGCTCATGCGGTAAATGCATCCACGCGGAGGGATGACACCCGCCTCGAGAGTAATCCCGTGACGTATGGGCCGATCCGGAACCGTTCCGGTGGGAGCCTCGAAGACGTCTCCATATCCGTCTAAGAGGTGGATAATACGTGGGTCCGACGGCGACACGGCTGGTCCGTCCGGCGAGGGAAGGGCATGTAAGAAAACAAGGCCCATCTCCTCGACGTCGTTCCGAGCTATGGCGTCGCGAATCCTTGCAACGGAAACCACGTGACAAGCAATCGAAGTGTGAGGGGTCGCGACCATACATGGGACTAACACTCCGTTCCGATCACGAACGTGAACGGTTCGATCATGAAAGTTCACCGGATGATCGGCGCTCCGCAACCAAGACATGCCTAGAATCATGTCAAACTTGGTGTCGAGGATGTCGAAAGACACCGACTCGCACGCAAGGGGCGCAAAGTATACCGGGATGCCGTCAATGCATCGGTCGATCGACTTTTGAGTGCGGTCGTCCGCGAGTGAAACTTGCATAGGTTGCGTCTTCCTTCGAACGTGCGGGCCAAGGCCTGCGCGGGCCATAAAGGCTTGGCTCATGAAATTGCAAGATGCTCCGCAATCAATCAAGGCACTGCAGGTTGCCTTTCCGATTTGAATGCGGATATAGAGCAAAGGCGCGTCGGTCTCGGCGTACCTTTGGGTGGCGTACTCGCGGTCAATCTTCGCAAGATAGGAGCGGAGATCGACAACCGCTACTCCGTCGTCCGTCAACAGAGCTGGTACTGCAGCGTGCAAGTAGGAGCGTAGATTTGCCATCAAGGCGTTACAATGCGGTCTTGGCAAGGTTCCGGTTGAGGGTAGAGGCATCCAAGCGAAGTCCTCTCTCGTGAGCGGGTCAAGCTCCTCAAGTCTTGACCACGCCGTCGAGTCCTCGAAAATCAGTGGCGAACTGACCGGTATACTTACCGACGGTGTACAGGCTACGCATACGCTATCTAAGTGCACGTGGCTAGGGTGGTCTAATGGTGGCACCAGCTGGGGGGCATAATCCTCGTACGTAGCACGAGAATCAGCGACTAACGCATGCTCCCCGATAGTGATATCGGTTGCTAGCAAGGCAACCGGTTCCGGCGGAGTAAGGAGAGGCATCGCCCCTCTCCTTGCGTAACTCAGTTTCCCGAGTTAGCTGGACGGGGCACGCACGGTAGTGTGGTTGACACTATTGCACCAAAGGCAATATCCGTACTGTTGACGAAGGTCAAATACTTCCTTGGTAATGTTGTATGCCGTCCATGGTTGCTGCCTAGTTCCCGTCGATGTCGTCGCTTGCGTCGCCTTGTTCTTCCGAACTCTCTTGGGACGCTTCAGCGGGAGCGCTGCGACAACTCCTCCATCACTCGAGGATGCTGCTGCAGCGTGAAGATCGATTGGTTCGTCAGGAACCACTGCATTGTTATGCGGCGGCCGTTGGTAGCCTTGCTTAGCCACATATTGCGGCTGGGACTGCCGTTCATTGGCGGCCTTGTCATCCATTTGGATGACCAGGTTCGCACGATCCAAAATGGCCTAGAACGAGGCATAGTCGTACTCGTTGCCGAGTGATGACCGCAGTCCTGCGCACGATCACGAAAAGAACTCGGATCGTTGGTTTGGGAAACTCAAGTCGAAGCCTGGAGTGGTTACTATCTTCTGCCACTTGATCGTCCAGTCTCGAGTTGGCATGTTCCCTTGTGAGTTGGAGTAGACGTCGTTCATGGCCGCCTTACGACGTTGCGGACCATGAATCGAGTGTGCCACATTTGCTCGAACTGCTTCCACGGAATGTGCGTGTGCAGTTGGGTGATGGTGCATCCCAGATTGGCCGTAGTATGGTTCATCCATGCCTGTGCTCCTCCAATGAATTGGAGGTAGAGTGCTTTCGTCATATCTTCGACCTGTATAGAGTGGGAGGATGCTTCGGTGAGGAAGGCCTTCCACCATGTCAAAGCGTCCGTCTTGTTGTAGTCGTCAAACTTGCCGATGTTGAAGCGTGGCATCTTGTATGCCTTTGTAGCGGCTTCCGGTCGTGACTGCAGTTTGGTGATGTCCGTCTTGATGGCGGCCACTGTGCTACTGATTGTGGCTGGACTGGTAAAGTCACCTAGTTCGCCGATCAGATTGACGACATGGTCGATGCGCTCCTCGAGCTGCTTCGTTGTGTCTGTCTTGCAGCCTGGCGCTGCTGAGGCCTGAGCCTCAATGCTGTTGACGCGTGTGAGAGTGGAGTTCAACAACTGGTGCTGGTGTTGCTGCTGTGTTGCTGTGGCGCGGACGACAGTTGTTAAGGTGGCAGTATCTTGCTGCCGCTTCTGTTTGAGTTGTCGCTCCGCGAGCAGGTGTACCTGCATCATTGTGTTACTCCACATTACTGCCTTCATCATGATCAACATCAAATTAGCCAGGTTACTCCTTTCTGCCTCCGCCGGTGTCGGATCCGCCTGCTCGTCCGTAGGCACAAATAGCATGCCTTGGAGGAGTGTTGATTCTCATTCTAAATCAGGGCCTCGGTGCTGGCGGCATTCCGCCTGTCTCGAGCCATTGCGTCAGCCTCAGCAGTCTGTTGAGCTTGGGTTGTCGCCTCGTTGGCCAGCCGCTGACGTTCCGCCTCTGCTGCCTCCTGCTGTGCTTTAGCAGTAGCGACGACATCTGTAAATGCCTGTACCCGCTGAAGATAAGCAGATAACGTCTCCAGGTCCCCTTGGTCCGGGCAGGCGGGAAGGGCCCCGGTAGTGACCGGTACTGCAGTTGCTGTACTCGATGCTGCTGGAGTCGGTCGCCTGCTGAGTCGTTGTTGTTGATACTTGGATCGTGGAGGTAACACAGAGTGGTTACGAACTGCGAGCCTGACACTGCGTCATGGCAGTGCCCCGGTGTCCTTTTCTGTCGACATCAGCACAGGCTGATGTGGTACTTGAAGACCTCGGTGTCACAGAGTACGGGGCGGGCAGGGAGGGTGGGATTAGGGGTAGAACAGATCAAGCAGTTCCCATACAGTCCACTGTCCCAATCTGGACTAGACTCCTAATCAAAAGAGAAAAGAAAAGAACTGACTTTTCCCCCTAAACAATTTAATTACGAAAATAATCAATAATTAATAAGAATGATAAATAATAATTAATTAAGAATAACATTTAATAATTATCAATAACGAATTTTAAATTGTCGGTTGATTAGGTGTCCGTTGAGATCACCTATGGTCTGGGAGTTCACCGTTGTTAGTGAACTGCCCGAAAGTTGCAGTTCTGAGGTATCAATTCCTGACAGTTTGCCAAATGAAGAAAAAAAAAATTCGAATACTTGTGAAAAGAAAAACACTCGAATTTTCAAAAAACGTGAAAATTTGGGAATTTCAACCTAACAAAGTCCGATTTTCAAAAGGCCGGAGTCCGTATTCGGCAATTCTCAATTAGGAAAAAAAATTCGCAAAAAATTTCGGATTCCAACCCTAATTTTCCGCGATTTCGCGGAATTTCTGGTTTTACGGTTCCAAAAACATGCGAATTTCCCCAAATGTGAACGAAAAACCGAAATTTTATCGCAACCCTAATTCAAATACCGAAATAAAACAGAATACCGATTTAAAACAGAATACCGAATTAAACAGAATGCCAAATTAAAACAGAATACCGAATTGAAATCTTAATACCGAATTAAAACAAAATACCGAATGAAACAGAATACCGAATTAAAACAGAATACCGAATTAAATAGAATACCGAATTAAAATCAGAATATCGAATTAAAACAGAATCTCGAATTGAAATCGGAATACCGAATTAAAACGGAATACCGAAAAAAATAAATTTGCAACTTGAATCCCGATAGTACTGCAAAACTGATTTGGAAAAACGACAGTCTATTCCCTAATCAGAATTACCTTGTGAGCAGATCCATTTAATTGGTCTGCTCCGATACCAAAAATGTTGCATACTCGTGAATACTTCAACAAGTATGGTACCAGCGCCACGTCACAGCGCAGGTCTGTCTTCCACCAATATACCAAGTCAGCACATCACTAGCAAACAGTAATAGGTACGCGCCACGTTAGACCATGCCCTGGCTGCCACATAGCAATGTGCCACATCAACAGTACCAGCGCCAACGCAACTCTTCAATCTTCAGCGTAGCCTTGTCATCATCTTCAAGGGACGGCTGCTCGCAAGTGCACTATTACCATGTCTAGATTTGCGGTATGATCGCGTGCGTTAATAAACGCGTTTCATATTGCACATGCGGCACATCCCACTTACCTGGGTGCCACGTTAGCACCTGACAGCTGACAGCAGATCGCGATGAAGAGTTGCTCCAATACCAAATTGCAATGAACCCAGATCGTGAAGACAATTATCAACAATTCAAGTCCAGATGAATGTCAACAGCTGATGATTACCAATAATCAAGATCGTGTCCAGAGAGAATGAGACGAAATAATTATACACAAACGAAGGAGAGAGGAGGGAGATAAGACAAAGGAGAGGAAATAAATACAATGCCCACTCCTGCTTCGGGCTCCCTCCTCCAACACCACTTCAATAATCGACAGTCTGAACGAGTATCTGAAGTAACCTCAATGTGCCATGTGGCACGTCTAATTAGTCCCTCATCAGCACTGGAGCAATGTCAACATGAAGACAACCAGGTACGTATTCACGATCTCTCCACAGTCCTGATCTTCCTCTTGCTCACAACCAGCCACCTCATGTAGACAGCGTGGACAATGTCACGTCATAAACAAGGCAGGTGGCAATGCCACATCATCAACGAAGACCAATAGCAGCACCACATATACCAGAGGCAGCGCCACGTCAGCATGCCACGTAGACCATAGGCAGCGCCACACATACAAGAGGCAGCGCCACGTGAGCATGCCACGTAGACCATAGGCAGCACCACATATACCAGAGGCAGCACCACATCAGCATGCCATGAAGACCAGAGGCAGCGCCACGTATACCAGAGGCAGCGCCACATCAGCATGCCATGAAGACCATAGGCAGCGCCACATCAGCATGCCATGAAGATCACAGGCAGCGCCACATCAGCATGCCTGGCGTACAATGCCATTGTGCTGCCTCTCCCTCGTGTCATCGTCCGCAGCTCTGATGCACAGCCAGCGTCTAGCCAGCGTCGCGCTAGCATAATGCCTGCGTCAAGTCAAAGTCAAGCCAGCATTGAACCAGCATAGCAAGACTGAATGCTGACCACCTCGAGGCCAGTCTTTAAGTATCTTTTGGCGAGGCTCTCTGGCCGCGGGTTTCCTTCCCTCAGTCGTCCAGATTGAGTCACAGCCGAAGGCCTGGATCGTACAGCAGTTGCAGACTTTCCCCTTGGACCTTATGCAGTCTGGGTACCTGCATACAAACAAATGTGTGTGCTTGACCAGCGGCCTGGACTGGGTACCTTTGTTGGGGTCAAGACAGTTGACAAAAGTCAACTGTCTCACGTCCAGGCCCTGAATGCTCGTGTGGGGTCTTTACCGCTGTTTTGGCCTGGGCTGAGGACGGCCGAGTTGGCCCTCAGTCTTTCCACGAGACATATGGCATGGGTTATTGCATAGCTGGTTAAAAAAAAAAAAAAAAAAAAAGTACTTTGTACATGCATTCGGCCATGGGCACTCTGCCAATAATCAACTGTGAATCTCTAAATAAGTACGCAGTAGTGCTGCTAGCAGCCGAAAATAAAAATAAGTACTTTGTACATGTATTTGGTCTTGGACTTCACGATTCGTCAGTAGAAAGGAGAACTCGTCTTCAGACGAATCGTGACGTCCAAGACTACCACGGAACGCAGCAAGGCGCTGCTAGCAGCACTACTGCGTAGGGATAGACCTGACTCGCAACGCAAGCCTCTCACTACGGAGAAGCTTATTGGAGTGCATAGGACAGCGGGTCTGTTTGTGGAGAAGAAGAAAAAA